GGGGGGGGGGGGGGGGGGGGGGGGGGGGGCGACGACAACCTCCCTTGCACAACACTGAAAATATGTAAAATTTGAGACCATTTAAAAAGAATTCAATCACTGTCTTTTTAAAAAGAAATCTCTATCTCTTTTCAAACCTGTTTTTTTTTTTGCATTTTAAACAAGACTTCAAAAATATTTGGTTTGAGAATAGTATAGAACCTAAAATTCATTAGTTAATCTGGTGCTAAATTTACCTAACTTTCAGTAAACTGCAGAATGAATGTCTTGTTGAGGAAAAGGGGGAATCAAAGGTGAGCAAAGGTTCAGAGGTGGAACACCTCATTTTTAACATTTCAAAACCTAAACATATTACTCTCTCCAAAAAGAAAAACAAAACTGCTTCTTCAAAGGGTGGGGGTGTTAAGTAGGCATTTTCAAGAGCCACACTACTTCACACAAAACCACCAGAGTGTCATCTCTGCAGAGTTCCTTCTCCAAGACTTGCTCTATTAAGGCGCTGCTGCTCTGAAGCCAAGCAGAAGCCATAAAAGGAAACCCAAGTTCAATGTCATGTATTTTGTTCCCCTCTTTCATATGCTCAAGAATAACCTCTTTTGCTGCCTAATTATATGTCCCCAGATCATACAGTCCACCAGTTATGCACTTTAAATTCCTTCATAAAGCAGTCAGGCTTTTAACAGGAATGACTTGATGGTTCACAAGTCTTACCCATAAAATAAAAATGAAAACAAAAACTCCAGAGACCAGGCCCTAATAACAAAACAATATAAATACTGGAATGATTCTCTCTTTGAAATGCATTTAATAAAAGCGAAACAGCCGAGAACAAGCTGTGAACTAATTTGATCTCCTGATCTTTAAAATCTACCTTTCCTCTCTCAACCAAAGAAAGTCAACTCTTTTTCCTCGGGTTTCTGGTAATTATTTTGGTAGCATGTGATTAAACATCAATTTAAGCTTACGCTACATCTACGTATAATTAATATTTATTTTAAAATACAGTATTATCGGTCACCTCCCTTTACCACAAAAGCACTTGGGGGGGGGGGACAACTAAACTTCAAAAGGCACTCAACTGCAACACTAGGAGGAAAGACAGCCGGGTTTACTGCAACCAAAACCAATTTTCCCCGTGAAGACGACCCCCATTGGTTCAGAAGCGTTCCTAAGTCTGACTGGTGGAATGTCTGCCATGCTTCACGAATTCCTGCTCGCACAGTCCGTACCTATTCACTTATTAGGCAGAACCAAACAAAAACAGATGGGCCAGCACGAAAATATGAGGGCCATACGACTGCAAAACAGCGCCGCTTTTTCTCACAACGCGACTCCCCTGAAAACCTGAAGCGTTTTCTCTCTCTTCCCTTACTATGTTCCTAGTGGGAACTGCGTACAGGTCCTGACCAATCAACTACTTGCAGGTGTTTGGGGTTTTGCTTTGTTTTTGTAGCCATATCCTCCTCTGTTTTTATCCACAATCTTTACGACCTCATTCTGCTTCCGAGAACACCAGTTTCAAGAAAAAATCTAGCAGCTAGTGGTCTCCAATCGAACAACCAAACAAGCACTGTAGACCCCGGACTGAAAAGAGCACATTACTTACGACAACTAGTGCCTTAGCCGTCCGGAAAAATCAACCAAGAATGGCAGACAGATGGGTTCTAAAGTCCGAAGAAACACAAGTGTCCTTAACACAACGATCTCCACGTAGGATTAACGCGAAAGCCAAAACAATCGGCACCAACATAAACAAATGTGGCAGCCATCTCGGAGGAGCGAATCAATCTCTCCAGGGCAGCCAGACTTAAACTTTCTTCCGAAACAAAAGTTGCCCAGACTCAGCAATTTAATATACACTGTATACGTCCCGGAACACTAAAACTTGTGGACTTCGCGGAAACAAAGGCACTCTTTCTTCCGATGGCTGAAAACTTTGCGTCCCACCGCATTCTTACCAGACCGTCTCAAAAAGAAAGGCATCCGGACGGTGGACGGGGCAAACAAATCAGTTCTACTCTTCCTTCAGCTGCTAAACTACCAAGCCACTCCGACGCGAGAGAAAGGGAGGCAAACTCGGGCAAGGCGAAGCCGACTCCAAGTATCGTTTCCGGCCCACGAACTTGGCGGCTGCTCGACGCGTTTCATAAAAATAAAAAAAAAATTACCTCTCGGGGTGTCTCAGGGCAGCCGTCTCGAGGCTCGGCTTGACATGATTTCCTGCCCTTCCTCCGTGGCTCGGGGCCCCGCCGAGGCTCCGGGGAGGGCGAGGCGGATGTGGAGCTGCCTCCTCCCGCAGCAGCAGCAGCAGCAGCAGCAGCGGCGGTGGCAGCAGTGGCGGCGGCAGCGGCAGCAGCAGTGCGGCGGCTCCGGTGGGTGCTGGGGTGCGGGCCGGCTTCCTGCTCCCCACTTGTGTGTCAGGACTTTCCCCAGCCCGGACTCTTCGGTCCTCCGCCGAAGGAGGGGAGGAGGAGGAAAAAAAAAAACTTTTCACTCGTGACACCGCCCGGAATTGCCGTGCGAAACTCACTTCCTGCCTGGGTGAAAAAAAAAAAAAAAAAGCAGGATCCAGCTCGGGTCGAGCCCGGGAACCCGGAACCCCGGGGCGGCGCGCCTCCGAGGGGGAGGGGACGGCGCCCGCCCCGAGTCGAGCGGAGCCGCGGGGACCACGCGCGGCCG